AACTATTCTGTAATTTTTAATGACTGTACGATATTGTTAAATTGTCATTGTTAGTAGATTTTGTATATAATAAAAAAGTTGCGCAACGATAATGTAACGATATCGCTACAGTCATTAAGAGTTATAGAACCTCTTAAAATTAAAAAAAGATAAAAAGTAAATCAAACTGAATTAAAATTAATCTGCATTGATAGAAACAGATATTAGTAATCTTGTTTTTCTATATTTTAATACCTTTTTTTAATTATATAATTCAATTCTCTCGACCTACCTGTCATAGCAATCGCCGTTTGTGCCAATTGGAACGTCGAAATCCACTAAGTGGTAAGCGTCGTAAGGTGCAACTTTCCTCAGATCCCATTTTATTCCAGAGCCTCGTAACATCACACCGCTAAAGCCCCAATTTAGCGCGTCCTCTGCAGTCACAGTACCGATATTGATTGTGCGCTGCCGCCAGATTCTATTGTCTGTCAATAGATCTTCTATCTCATCTAATCGTGCAGAATATTTGGAGGCCCAATCATATATGTCATCCATCAGACCCAATGGTAGATCCAAGGAGACACCACCGGGCCTTATATAAGCTGCATGCATACGGGCGCCACTCACACGCTCATAAAACTCCATCATCTTCTCTCGCTCCTCGAATAGCCAGAAGAAAGGCGTAAGAGCGCCGATATCCAATGCGTGTGTTCCAACACCCATAATGTGGTTCAAAATCCTCGTAATCTCCGCGAAAAGAACTGCAAGCAGAGAATTCTATCAGAGAGCCTTGAATTACAGGTTTGTAAAAATATAAATCAGACTCGGACAATTTTAAATCACAGATTATTAATTATGATGACAATTATATTATCTATCGGCTAAATTTTAAATTGTAAGTTATGTCAATATTGAGAATGTCCTGATTAGAACATTTGAAACGTTTATTAGAATTAGCTTATTTTTGTTTTTAATAGTTCAGCATTAAAGATCTTGCTCGATTCTTAGCCTTACATCTTATTGTTTTAATTTTAAAATTATTTAAGCTATTTTTACTATATATATATTTGAATCTTTTATAAAAGAATATATTTATTCCAACATATTCCATAAATATTTTCTGTAGATAATTAGTTTACACTTCAAAAAAGATTTAAAGTAAAATAGAAATGTGTTTGATACTTTTGATGAAAGCAAGAAATAGTTCTAATAGAAAAATAAAAACAGATTTCATGTTATTCCAACAGAACAAGATTCACGCATTGCTTTTACCTCGAATGTACTTCGCGCGCAGAGGTACGTCTATATTCAGCAGTTTCTCAATCGCCATGGAGAAGCACTGCTCGTTGCACATCATAGAGACATAGTCCAAGCGATCGAAATAAGGTAATGCCTGCATGTAGGTCTTATATTCAATCAATTTCTCTGTGCCGCGATGCAGGAGACCAATATGCGGATCGGCGCTGACCACAATTTCGCCGTCTAACTCCAGGATCAGCCGGAGGACACCGTGAGCAGCTGGATGCTGTGGGCCAAAGTTAATCTTCAAATTTTGTATAGTTTGTTCCGCCAGGGGAGGAGTAGCCAGGACGGACTCATTCTGCGGCGGTGTCCAATCGATCTTCTCCGTGGTGTACAGAACCGGTGTGTTGAACTGCTGGAAGAATTCCCCGTCCGGATTCCATTGATGACCATTACGATGTTGGCTGCGAAACATGTATTGTCAATAGAGTCCATCACGTCGTATGGCGAATAGGTTATATCATTATATAACACACATATGCGATTAATAACAGACTACGTTTAAGCGCAATTAATTTGACTTACACATTAGTGATTGCTGGTGCATTATTCGGCGCCAGCAACCTGCCAGTGCCGAAAAATCCTGCGTTTTTACGCAAGATCGAACCCAACACTCTGGCCGCCATGATGCTCACATTGCTCACATCTCGCATGACATCAATGCGATCAATGCAACAACGGCGGCTCAGTCGGTATAAGGTTTGATTTTGTCAACCACTTTTTATCCTCTTTATGATAAAAAAGAATCCAATTATTTTATTATATAATTTCTCTTAACTACAATTAGTTTCCCCAAGCAAAACAACAGATACAATAATGTCAAGACAAATCGTGATTGATCGAAAGTGACTTTTAATAATCACTTTAAAACTATTTCCACTGTATCATTTTGATGTCATGATGATAATATAGGTCATAATGATATCTATTTTAATTTTTATTATTGAACATGATATATTTCTTTTATTTAAAATGAAATAAATATATGTTTGAAATTTAACGAAAGCGAATAATGCAGCAATATAAAAATAAATATTTTTTAATTCTATTATATACGTATATGATCCACTTAATTGAATGAAATCTTAAGATCAGATTTATAAGACGATTTTAAAATTGAAGTTACAAAGATTCGCCCGTTACCCAAGAAATAAAAATCAACAAAAAATCAATATCAATTAAAACAATTAAATTTTGTAACAATAAGAATCATCTTTTTGACTTTCTCTCGACTTGATGTGTTCCTTGGATAAATCTTTAGCATTTTATCACGTAATAATAATGTGATTCTTTTATCTCGAATATAAAAATAGATTGTAAGGGATTAAATGGGATCTTTTAGGTGTAATCAAATCAATTGTTTTTAAAAGTCAATATTTCGCATCACGATACTATTTTTCAAAAACAACATACAAGATATAAAATTTATATAAACAAATTATAATTAAGACATACAATATTTGTACCCGGTAAAACATTTTTCATGCATGAATATGTATAAATATGTATAAACATACATAAACACGCATAAATATTTATAAACATGTATATTTATAAACATGTATAACCAGCAAACGAGAATGAAGTAAAATGGATTGAAATTTTTTTCTATCCGAATGCGTATTTTAAATAGCGAATACTTTTTTTTTAATTCAATTGGATTCAATTGGATGCAATTGGATTGAAAAACTGCATTTCCTATTCAAAATTTTAAATTGAACAGTATTCACAATTATATGTTTTTGCACAGAAAAAACTAATATTATTTTTAGACTGAAAGGCATAGAAATATAGTATGCTCCATGCAATTCCTATAAATGAATAAAAATGTATTCAGGATTGAAAAGCATTCATTTTAACATTCGAGAATCAATATTTCTGAAAATCTGAATCTATTTCAATTCATTTCAACCTATTCTCGTTTTCTATAAATTATATATGAAATATGTATATTTCTTCAAACTTGATTTTTTTTCTAAAATAAATAGTGCGAAAATTATTTTTTTAATTATTTTTAATGTTTTCATATTATTATTATTTCTATTACACTAAAAAATAATTTTACAAAAGAAAAAAAGATGTATGAACATATTTCATACACGTATGGACATATTTCATATATAATTATACATGTTTAGAAATATTTATACGTGTTTATGTATGTTTATACATATTTATACATATTTATACATATTTATACATATTTATACATGCATGAAAAATTTTTTACCGGGTATAATTATATAAATTTATGCATTTGTATTTTTTCGTATATCCATATATTGATAATTTATATATTTTATTTGCTATAAATAGAAGACCGATGATCTTTCTCTCTATTCACATATCTCGTTTTAAGCATTCACTTTCCCGAATTTGAATCATTTAAGTTTCGAGCGCGTGGATCTTGACCTTTTACTGCTGATTCTATTTCCGCCTAAACTTGAAATTCCGCTTCGCTCATTCGCAAAACGAGAAATCATGGTGACTATTGTCCCGTCGTTTCTCGTAGATATTTCAAACCAAGCTTGGAGGAGCGCCATGGAATTTCCGTACTTTCCGAGGATTCAGTGGCATACAGTATGTCAGTTAACGCATTACTTTAGAATTACTAGGGTACAATTTTAAGCATTATATGCCTATATTCTCTTACTCGTCGTAAAGACGAATAAATAACGCCCGTTTCTACTAATGTAGATTATATATAAATTTAAAAAGTGAAATTGAGTTCAATATCAATACTAATATAATGTTTTGTTCGCAAATTAGTATGCTGATTGTTTCAAAGAAGATCAGGGCAATTTTTATAATTGCTTACTGTCTTTTATATTTTTGCCTGTTTGGCGATTGCTAAAAGACACAAAGACATTTCGTCTCAATTGATCGCAATATTTCGACATTATTTATGCAAATTTCTTTTTTGATTAGAAATTACTGTGATAAAGTTAAGAGAGATTTATTTATAACGATAGTGATAGCCATATAATAAAAAGTTTTGATAATTAGTTATAAATTAATCTCTTTTAACATATCATAGTAATTACTAATCAGGAAATTTGCATGAATAATGTCGAGGTATTGCGATCAATTGAAACGAAATATACTTGTCTTTCATGAATTGCCAAACAGGCAGAAACACAAAAAAAAACAGTAAGCAATTGAATATGAACATTGCCTCGGCCTTTTTCGAAACGATCAACATATTAATTTGCAAACAAAGCATTATATTATTGAGTATTGATGTTGAGCTCAATTTTACTTTTTTAGTTTAACGTTTTTTTTCGATTCGTCTTATTCTTTTATTAAATAATTTTTATTTTTGACTTTCACAAGCTTTATTTAACGTAATGATTTTTATTTTTATTTGATTTTACTATTTGTTAAATTAATTTTATCACACAAATGTATCTTAAATATCTATTTATATATTAACATTATTATTATTTTAAAAGTTGAGGAAGTGTTTTGAGAGACTTTCATTCACACTTATGCGAATCATCCGTACTCATTAAACTCATACTTGCGTAGATGTACAGGAACCTCGAATTTCCTCGGGCAAAGCGATTGCAAAAGTTTGACGCAAGTCACGGTATTGAGGCTGCTATTTCGAGGATAGCGATGGTGTATGGATCATTGTTGCACCAACATTCTGCACATCGCGGGATCATCGCACAATTCTTGCAAGCATGCAGCTGCTCTCATCAAGCATAGATGAATTAGCGTTCCAATTTGATTTCTCTTTATTTCTCTTTATTGTACACTGAACGTATATATCATCGTATATGTAAAGATACAAAAAAATCAATCATTTCGCGATCATTGAAAGAAATCCTCTTCAGCTATGCGGGGCGACGAGTATAACTTCGCTGTATATAACTTTGAGAGATAACGTAATATTTCCAGATTGACGATGCGAGAATGTTCGAGAATGTTAGCGAAAAGCGCACACTGAAAAAAAAGTCTGGTAATAGCTACCAAATATATTTTGTTTAGCAATACTAGTGCAATATTTAAAAAATATTGCTAAACATAATAATAGTAATCAATCGTTCGGAAATAATTAAAAAAGTAAAATAAACGTTTAGATATTTGGTTTTGATTATATTAATTGAACACATTTGATTGAAATTATTTCACTAAAGCTTTAGTAAACTATTATCTAAGACCGATTATTACTAGACTTTTTTCAGTGCAGAATCTCGGCCATTCACGCGTTTGAGCAACGGAAATAACGCGTTTTGCATTACTTCTATCTAATGGTCTTCCCAACATAGAAAGTAGAGAGAAAGACATACATACAAAACGTACATTTGGTGACTAGAATCATAACGAGTACAGGCAAAATATATATGTATTACTGTCTAAGCTTATATCACTTTTTATGCATCGTACAAAAGAAGAATACTAATTGCAAGTAGAAACAAGAGGTCATTGCTTTGACAACATCGTTATTATACTCGTTGAATTGATGTAAACTCACAATATCTACTTTGTGCAAATATTTTATCTTCCATGTCTCCAACAATCTTTAAAAAAATTGACTTCAACTTCGATACTATCGATTCCGATGTAGTTTCTAGCGAGATAATACTCATCTTTTTTATCTCAAATCTATAATTTTGATGAGATTGAAGCTCTGAAAAACAAAACAACACTGGTCAATATTAAATTAAAATTTTATAATACCTTCTTCATGTAGCTTTAAATAATAAAAAAAATTTTTATTTATTAAGACTAAAATTTTTTTATATAATATTGATTGTATAAAGGCTGCTTAAAATTATTTTCGAGCATAAAGCTCGGGAATATAAGAATCTCGCAATTACCGAAAATCCAAGGAAGTACTCCGACATATAATATCATCTCTCCTGTCAAACTTTAACTCTCGGCTAGTAGTAGTCATAGAGGAGGTAACGATGCAATGACTGCGGTAGCTGCAGTTTCCTGACAATTTTTGGTAGCTTGGTACCGCAGAGTTTGCGGACTATTAATCTCGCTTGATGGGTCAACGGCAGCGGAGTTTTAGCTGCCTCCATCACCAAAGCCTTCTGTGCGTCCGTCAAACTGCTGGACCGTCGTATCATACAGGGATCAAAGCTCTCCGCCGCTTCCAATAATGCGCGTAGCAATCGCGGCTTATCGGCCGTATTCTGCAAAGAATTGAGGATACCGTGTGGATCACGAAATTGTGTCTTGATCACTACTCGGGCACCGTATTTCAGCAGCAACGCCACTATCTCCACCGATGGGTTCTCGTTAGAAGCGACGTATTCGGCGAGCACCGGCCTTAACGCCGGTCCATCGTCGCTGCGTATCACTAGATTGGGATCGGCGCCACGTTCCAGCAACATACACAGGATCTCTAGCCGGTTCGGGATATTATCCGCGCATGCCACGTGTAATGGGGAACCAATGATCGGCGAAGTGGCGTTCACATCCGCGCCTGGAAAATCGCAAACGAAAAACTGCATTCTTTTTTCTTTATATGAGACTTTATTTGATTAACAATATTAATTCAATGAAACAATATTGAATAAAGAATTTCTTAAGATCGTAAATATGAATACGCAACATATAGAGAATAAAAGCTGGATTAAATTATTATCACTACTCTTACAGAAATTTAATACTTAATCATCAATCCTTTTAGTATACACGATGATTTTTTTTTCATTACACATTTCATATTCCGGATTAATTGTCATCATTTTTATAAGTACACAAAAATTATTAAGTGAATCATACAATACTTTAATTAATATCTTTAAAAAGTGAGATATAGAGTATTGTAAATTGTATATAACTAATTTCTTGATTCTATTAGTATTATATGTATATACCATTTCAAAAAAAACACTTAAGACACGAATGTGATCTAATCGTGTGTATACTTTGAAATACTAATTAAAAATATTGAAACAATTTAACATTAAAAATAAGTAATTAATTACTATCTTTCAGTAAATCTTTTTATTAAATTGATTAATTAACTTAAATTCAGTATTTAGATTTCCGTAAGGACATTGAAATATTTAGATAAAATTTATAGTTATGAATAAATTCAGATATAATTTCCAAGTGCAATGCTAGATCAAACTTATGAAAATAAAAACGATAGTTCATGGACCATCAAATTAATATTATTATTACATTACAATCAAATTAATATTAAATCAACGTTATCAAGAACAATTTTTGGCCAACATGATCGCAAGGTCAATCACAAGGAAAAAAAAGTCTTACGACGTGGATAGATTTAATACCGAACGCGCATGAATTGGCCTTCGGATGCCGCGCAATTTCGGCCGTATGCCAGCGTTATCGGTCCGAGATACCGCGACTCACCCGCTTCGAGCAGCATTTCGACGATCGACGGGTCACCCTTGAGTATGGCCAAATCCAGGGCCGTCGGTTTCTGGTAGTCCGGCCCGAGATCCAACCGGGCGCCTTGCTTAAGCAAGAGATTGATTACCGCCGGATCGCCACCGAGAATCGCGTAATGCAGCACTGTTCGGTAATCGTGCCTGGCGTCCGCCGTCGCGTTCACATCTGCACCGTAACTCAGCAGCAGAAGCACCGAAGAAATGCCCTGCGACATTCACGGTTGAGAAATCAGCTCCCCGTGAGTTTGCGAAAATGCAAACGTAACATGTAATTATAGTTACTGTATGTTGAGCATAGTAATGAATTTTAAGAAATTTGAGTGACGCAATTGTTTCGAAAAGAGAGTAAAGTAATTGTAATCAATATGCCATTAATATGACCTACTTGTTGTTTGTAGGCAATTACATTAAATCATAAATTAAGGAAATAAATCTTCATTGCATTCATTGTAAATATTAAAAATGTGAAGCAGTTCTTCTTAAACAATTACTATAACAATTATAATTCGAAATTGGACCGATGAGAATAAAGTTTAATTAATGATCAAGAGAGAATCTTGTAAGAGAGAATCTCTCTTGAGGGCTGCTTACGATGTTGATCAAAATATCCTTGCCGAACGTTAAATTTAATTTCGAATTTCTACATTACTCGGATGTCGGCGATCTGAAAATCTCTCACGATACAATTGTGTAGCTTTCATGTAATCACGCTCATATTTTTTCAATATCAGAAATATATCGACAGGGTTGGGTAATAGTAACTAGTTAAAACGTCAAGAGTTAAAAAAAAAGTTAAAAATAACTTTTTACGTAATAACTTTTAACTTAGTTAATTTTAAATGTATTAATTTTTAACTTAATTTAGTTACTTTTAAACTTTAATTTATTAACTTTTTTTTAAATTAAAAATTTTTCTATATCTCTTAATGCAAATTTTTTTTTTCTATAAAGTCAAACATTAGAGAATTAATTTAGAAAAAATTCAATGATGTTTTATGATGATGAGAGATCTATAATAAGAGTAACACCATAAGGTAGCCAATTTTTATTATATGATTTGCTAGATTTTATCAATTCTTATATTTAAATCACATTAATTTTAGGTATCATAATTTATTTTAATAAATAATTATATTTTAATAATATAAATATGAAATGAGATTAGATGAAGAATTGTTGTAGAACAGTACTGCACATCTCCTCATTTTCTAAATTTTTATGTATATTTTTTGTAACAAATATCTCGTATAGTCGAAATATAATCGATGTAATCGTAAACATGCATGAGCAGATGTTTCAGAAATTAAAGAAAGATAAAGGTTAAAGAAAGAGAAATAATGCAAATATATCTCTTTCGCAAGCATCCCTTCTC